TTTTTTTTGTGTGTGTGCTTTAACCCTTTCAGGGACAGCGGTGACTACAGTGGGCAGCTTATCTCGTTATCGGGTTACAGGGTGCATGAAAGGGTCCGTTGGTAATTGAATGTCAAGTGTGGTATGTGTGCCGCGGGGTTGAAAAATTTGGGATCTTTGTGTTAACTTGTAATATTCCAATATTCTTCAAAATATTGTTCAAAATATGTGTACTTTATTCTCATGAGATTAGAACTTAAAAAAAAAAAAAAAAAGATGATCAGGAGGCCGGCCGACAATCGCTGATGTCATGCTAGCTGGGCGCATCTGCCATCGGTCTTCTGGTGGAGTTCACCGCTCGAAAATTGCCGGGTGTCCTGGTTGTCATTTGTCTACATCTGCGATCGTCATGATAACCCCGCCCCCTTGGTGCCAGAGTCTGGTCCAACAAGTAGGCGGGGCCAATTGCCATCTTAAGCACCACAGCTCAAGCTCATTTGGGTGGTGGAAAAAGAAAGGACCAGTGCTCACCTGGGCACAGGCGCCGAACTAGCACTAGCACGAGCGTGGTGGAAAAGGGCCAGAAGTAGACCAGGGCTCACCAACTCCCGTCCTCACCTCATTCAAATGAGCAGCTTTCAGGCTTCTGCAGAGTTTGCAGATGAGATGATCCAGGTGTGTTGGAGGAGGGAAACCTCGAAAACAGGCCGCATATATCCTACTTTGTATGTGTTAAACATCTGCCGAGAGCGAGGGGGAAAAATGAAATCACTTGAATCCAATCTGGATTTAAACGTGGGAAATGTTGATCGGATAGATTTTTCCCTGACGGCGCCGCTCGTTAATCTGGTTGAAAGGTAGACGATATTGTTCTTATTCGGATCAAATGCCATCCAAGATTCTGACTGGAGGTGGCGACGTCGCAGTGCCGTCGAGCCATTGAGAAGCCAAGCCGATGAACGCGCGCCGTCGGCTGACGTTTGATTGACAGCGATGCTGGCGAGCGGCGACAGTTGGACGGTGTCAGGCTGTCACAAGCGTGGCGCCGCTTCTGCAGCGGCGGCCTCACCTGCCAACACGCCCCGCCGCTTTTTGCGCCGCTTGACGGGATGAGACAGCCGAGCATTTTGTCCTCGGGCGCAATTGACACCATTGAAACGATCCCTCTGATGAGAAATCTGATCAAACTGCTTATGTCCAAGAAATCTCGATTGCCATCAGATTTTTTTTTCTCGAAGAATAAGTATGACTTTATTCTCATAATATTGACTTTTTTAAAGCTGTTTTTAAGATGAAACTACGTATTCTCGTTCGTACTTTTTTTCCGAAAATGCCCTATAATTCTCAGGAAATGGCTCCATTTTCAAAATAAAATTTGATGTAGATCTCCCCCAAAAAAATTCTCTTGGAAAAAAAAAGTGACACTATCCTATATGCAATGTTTTTAATAAAAAAAAAAAAGTAGCTTCATTATTTTATGATTGCGATCCAAAATAATCTGGATTCAAATCCAGACGGAATATCAAAAGATTGACGAAAAATCGCCAAATTCCGACTGACTGATCCAGCCGAAATATATCGAAGTTCCCGTTTAAACAAACAAAGCTGCTGGTTGTTGTTCTTCCAGGTAACTCC